AAGAATGAAAATGTATTAATGCATCAACTCATGCTTAAAATAATATATGTTCCCACAGAAGTAACATTTAAACAAAGGTCTCTCTCACTCTCAGGCTTGGCTGCAGAGGTATGGCTACCTCCCTCCCACAGACCCCAGAATGTCCGTCCTGCGGTCAGAACAGACCATGCATTCTGCTATCGCTGCCATGCAGCGTCTCTACGGCCTTAACGTCACCGGTGAACTGGATAAGAACACCATTGAGTGAGTATAGCAGTTACACTCTCACACGGTCACTCAATCCAATATCAACTGATTCTGGGTCAGAAGTTTAACATGATGTTGTTCTTCTCAGAAACTCTTTAACATCATTGACTGTGTACAACAAAATAAGTGGCCATACTTTACCATTGCGAAAACCAGCAAAGACGGTTGCCAGCATGTTTAGTTCCCCATCATGGACTGTCTCTACCAACACCTGCACTAGTAATGCCAAAGTCATGGGTTCAATTCCTAGGGAATAGACCTAATAGACCTTAATCAGGGTAGTGTCATATTTAATTTTTGACAGGAAAAACTGTTTTGAAAGTGGTGAAAGTTGAAGTGATCTGGGACCGCTATACAGCACGTACCATTGTAAAGTCTCGTTTTCATCCGCATTAAATTCAATATGGTGTCTAACCTGACTACAATTTATATCTTGAACGCAAAGTCATTTTGGGCTAAAATATCTGTGAAATGTATGAATGTAAATTGCTAAACCACAAGCGAGATCAGCATAAACCACCCCGGACTAGCTTGAAAACTGATTTCAGAAGGGTAATGGATGGGGAATGAACTGATTTTATTTTAGAAATGCCTTTACAAACTGCTCAAAATCTAAAACACAATATGAAAAATGCATACTGAATTTGGTGTATAGCAGTGATTCCCAACCACACTCTTAAAAAAAATAAAGGTTCTTTATCGGCATCTATGGTTCCATGAACTTTTAACATCCATGGGATATTTCCATTCCAGAAAAGGTTCTTTATAGTGGAGAAAATGTATACATTTTTTTTAAATGTTCTTAACAGATTTTTTTTTTAAGAACTGTTCTTTGGGGAACCAAAAATGGTTCTTCTATGGCATCACTGCGAAAACAACCTCTTGGAACCATTATTTAAAACATTTTTCTAGTTTGGCATTGTTGAAAGACACTCAAACCTGTCTGATAAGGGCTGCAAACGTCAAAAACGGTTGGGAAACACTGATGTACAACATCTGGCCGCTAGGATCCTGGTGATGTCATAACTCTTATGTGATCTTTTTGTTTCCTTTTTGCTTCGGCATAGTGATATCACCATAAGGTGAGGCTGACTTTTCTCTTGTGATTTGTTTCTTGCTTTCAAAACCATACTTGTCTTGGCTTCTCTTTCTCTGTGTGAACTCTAATTGAAGGGGATCGAGAGGGTTTTTATGAATACAGTAACCATACGGTATATCATATTAGTTGATTAATTGGCTGATATTTGGCCTCTCTAGATATTTGTCTTTGAAAACATGGTGGACCTAATACTATTAAATACACAAGTTAGTTAATGCGGTTGATATGATGGAAACCTTGTGTATTTTGAGGGGTTATTCCAGAATTAATCTATGAATATTTTAGTGTTGTGTAGAAGCTCAGACAGGCTAGGCTGAATGTCACAAGTGTGGAGCAATTAAATATTAATGAATCCACTTATTTTTCTCTCTCAGCTGGATGAAGAAGCCACGATGTGGGGTGCCAGACCAGTTCGGCGGTGCCTCGAAATTTAGCGTCCGAAAAAGACGTTACGCCCTCACAGGGCAGAAATGGCAACATAAACATATCACATACAGGTTAGTTACAAAAACACACTTACTTTGTGTGTATGTGTGTGTTATGAAATGCATTTATTGTTTGTGCATTTCTGTGACATCTCTGAGAAAAAAAAAAAAAAAA